TTGTAGGATATGTGCCCTGTCAGTTTAGACCCCCACCAAGTTAAGCCATTTTCTTCTGTTTTATAGAGCCAGAATATGAGAGGCACTGTATCCCCAACATCTTAACATTTGTTTCTTACTCCCATTATAAGGTAGCAGGAAGAGCTGTTAGGATTTGGAGACAAAAGATGGAGATTCAGATCTCAGACTTTCTGTTTCCTGACTGCGTGACCTTGAGCAAGTCATTACTTGAGGCCCAGTTTCTTCATCTATAAAGTGACCATCCATCATGAAACATACCTCCCAGGATGGTTGTGACCAATAAATAGGACAACTGTGTGAAGGATCAAGTAACATTCCTGGGTCCTTAACAAATACTAATAATTTCCTTTCTTTGTCATTTTCTACCCCTCCTCCCAACCCTGCTCCCTCAACTAACATACATGTCATTATATGCCTTTATAAAGACAGGATTAAAGATAGAATGTGGGAAATTGGGTAGAGGCCATAATACAAAGTGAAGGGCAAGAGTTTCCAGGCATGCTTGTGTAGTATAGACCAAAAGCAGATTACAGACTCCTTGAGGACAGGGACCTGTGTCTTATGTTCACCCAGCATACCCTACAGCTAATATTTAGCATAGCACCCCTGTAATACCATCATTTATTGAGCACTTGGTGTCTGCAGGTGGTCTTTTCATCTTTTATGTGTCATCTTCTTTAAACTTTCCATAACTTGTTAGATAGGTATGATTATCCCTGTTAGGTAGATAAGGTGACCAAAGCACCAAGCAAAATCTCCCAAGGTCAGTATTCATATTTAAGTTTCTGTGATTTCAAATCTCATCTTTGTTATACCACACTGCCCCCAATAAAAATAGCTGCCTTCATTTGGTTTTATTTATTTATTTATTTTTCCTTTTTGTCTTTTTTCATGACCGGCAACGGATCGCATCTTTTTTCGTGACCGGCAACGGATCGCAACCCTCAGTGTCGCGCCCGTACCGGCCCGGGACCGGCAATGGGATCGCAACCCTCCGTGTTGCTCCCTGCACCTTGCTCAGCCAGTGAGCAGGAACTGGTCTGTATGTGGGATCCGAACCCTCGGCGGGAGCGCCGCCGCACTTCCCAAGCGGTGCACTGCTACAGTGCGCCACCGGGCCAGCCCGTGGTTTTATTTTTTAACCAAATATTTATGGAACTTTTATTTGTTTAAGCTACTATGCTGTATTGAAGGTTTATATGAAGATCTAAAAGACTTAATTTTATATAACTAGCTGCACAGGTAACTGTGATATGAGGTAGAATGTGACATGTCTCATAATTAATGAACCAGTGAAGGACTCTGAGGTTCACAGGTGAGCAAGATCACATCTAATTGGTGCAAATCATCAAAGGCCTTCACAAACGAGAGGGTGTTTGAATTGAGTCTTGAGGTCTGCGTTTCCTACATGTCCTGCATGCTAAGCTCGAAATCTTAAGGTCTTAGTCATTATATTACTTTTTTCTTACCATTTGTTGTTAACTCATTCCTACTCTGTCTTACCATCTGTTTTAGTTCGTTTTGTGTTGCTATAACAGAAATACCTGAAACTGGGTAATTTATAAAAAAGAGAGGTTTATTTGGCTTACGATTCTGGGGCAGCTGCATCTCTTCTACTCATGGCAGAAAGTGGCAGGCAGCTGGCAGGAACAAGCAGATCACGTGGCGAGAGGAAGCAAGAGAGAGAGAGAGAGGAGGTGCCAGGGTCCTTTAAACAACCAGCTCTCATGGGAACTAATAGAGCAAGAACTCACTCATTAATCCCCCCTCCCCCAGGGAGAGCATTAATCCATTCATAAGGGACCCACCCCCGTCACTCAATCAGTTTCCAACACCGCCACATTGGAGATCAAATTTCCACATGAGTTTTGGAGGGGACAACACATCCAAACTCCATCACTATCTATTGCTCCTCTTTGAAATCAAGAGGATAACTTAGTGAAACCACCTTGAATAGAATCACAGAGAAGAAAACCATTACCCTCAAACTCCATAGTTTCCTCTCATTTTCTCCCTTGAGTAGATATAGCATAATATTTCAGAGCCCAACTCCACCACCTGCTAGCTGTGCAATTTTGGGAAGTTAACTTCACTGGACCTCAGTATTGTCAAGTATAAAATGAGGATAATATATGCCTCGTATGGATTGACTGGGATTCTATATGTAAAGTGCCTGTGTGTCTGGAATATAAGTACTCTTAACTTCACTGGACCTCAGTATTGTCAAGTATAAAATGAGGATAATATATGCCTCGTATGGTTGATCTGGATTGACTGGGATTCTATATGTAAAGTGCCTGTGTGTCTGGAATATAAGTACTCAATAAGTAATAAGTAATAATTAATAGTTTCTATACTGTTTACTTAAGTAGATAGATATGACCAGATAAAAGTAAGCATGAGTGATACACATTTGTCTGGAACATCAAGACATTGATTTTGGTCCTTCATTTTAGAGTTAGTAGTTCTTGTGACTTGCAAACTCTTAACCAGAATTAACGCAGAAATGCAGTTGCTGCCATGTTGAGGGCAAAATATAGACCGAACCTTGAGCCATTTGAGAGTAGCTAAGATTTTTTTCATCCTAATCTCTTGTTTTCTATCTCTTTACTGCCCTTGGTAGCTGTACAAATTGCAATTAATCCAGTATTAATTGATTAAGTAAAAAAATTACCTAGGAAAGACAGCACAGTACAACTCTGCAGAGTCTACAGTAGATTTTACTTCTCAATAACAAGATGTTCACTTTTACCTGGCCATGAATTTTCTGGATAACTACCATGAAAATTTTTATGCTTAGTTGAATTTTAGTTATTACAGCTGAAGGACTGGGGATGATCTGTAACACAGGACCTTGATCAAAAATATTCAGAAAAAAGTGCTATTTGGCTTACATGTGTGATTGTTTTCTTTAACTTAACTTGGTGTTAAACATTGTTGAGGAGAAAATATTTACTATTAAACTCGACTCTTTTTCTCATGCCTTCTGAGAATTGGATAAAGTTCACTTTAGGCTATACGTGTCCAAAGAGTTGGTTGGCCTTTGTAATTTCAGTTACCATGTTTCAAACTAGGTCTAAACTGAAGAGTAATCAGGTTAGGCAAGGGACCTTTTTTCATTGCATTTCCTCTTGGAATGGGAGCGTTTTATGTCTCATATTAATAATCTGAGGTATAAATTTGTGAAATTGAAACTTCTGTAGACTTTATTGGAAATGTTTTTTAAAGAAATAAAAGATACTATACACTCAAATAGAAATAATTTGGGAAAGTTTAGAAAATCAATCATTTGTTGTTTCCAATATCGAGCATAGTTTAGGGACCACTTCATGCCCTAATTAAACTAGAATATTCATTGGGCACATAACCCTTGGAGATTACGAAATCTGAGATAAATTGTTTATACTAGCAAATGTACTGAATTCATTTAAATACAGTGTAACATTAGAATCAAAATGGATTAAACTTAATTACTATAGCGGGAGGAAATAGATGGAAGATGATTGTGGAACCAAAATGAGGAAATTTAAGCCTCTTATAGGACCTTAGTGAAAAATGTAGGTATTGCTCTTAAGCAGAGCTGGTGTTGAGTGTCTGACTCAACACCTCCCTTTCTACATGAGCAAACAAACACTAAAAGGTCCTATATAAGCACAGTTACACTACCTGTGTCTGGGACCTGTGTACGTGAGGAATTATTCTCAGCTGGCTCCCACTATGACTTGGCCACAAGCTCTCCGAATAAAGTGTTGAGACTAGAGACTTAAAATAATGGTTTCATCTATTTAAGCATAGACCCACAACAAAACTACTCGTAGTTGAGAGACAAAACTGACCACTCGAGGCTGTTAGCATGCTCCTTGTTCTGCATGAAAATAGTACGTTTCTGAGTTAAACTCCTTTTCTTTTTCATCATAATACTTATCAGTTTTTGATCATCTTTAATGAAATTGGGTTTCAGTTAACTAATCTCAGTCCATAATGCACAAAGAGGGATATAGATCAAACTTTCATAATTTACCTGGCAGTGGTACATTCTTTTTAAAACCTTGTGCTGTATGTTAATTTTCCTCTGCTTTTAATAGGTTAAAAAAAAATTCCATTTTGTAATAATGCATGACTCATTCATTACTCATTATCTTCCCACTGATTTTTTTTTTTTCTTTTGCCTTGAGCCAGCAAGAAAATCTTACATGAGAGGAGGGAGAAACAGAGAGACAGAGTGAGTTGAGGAATACAGTGCTTAAATACTGTTGCTTGATTTTCATTGGTTATCTCCTTTCTTACGGTGGCCAGTCTAATCCAGCCTCCCCTGTCGAATCCCTCCCCTCCCCCACACTCCCAGCTAGGGGCTTCACAGGGTGGCTGTTGCTAGAAACTGACTGCAGGCAGTATGTAGGCATCTTTCATTCAGGATGGACATTAATATATTGGATAGAGAAGAAAGCTTTTAGAAATGTATCATTTGTCAAAATTGCATGGCTTTTGAAAAGGGATAAAGAGATGCTGAGTGTTTTGTATGTTAGCATCAACTCTTTTTATTTCTGTTCAGACTTTTAAGTTTTCAGAAGCTTAAATATAGATTCCTTTAAAAAAAAAAAAAAGGAAGAAAGAAGAATTTGTCTGGGTAGTCGACCTCTGTTTAAGTGCTTCAGCCTCCTCCTCCACCTCTCTGTGGTGTTTCTCTGCAGCTCTCCGTAGGTTAGCTGTGCTGCCTGGCAGAATGCTCGTCTGTTAGCTGAATAGACTTCATCGACAGACATAGATACTAACATAGGTTTTCTTTTTTTCCCGTGAACCCCAAAATGCCATCCAAAGAGTCTTGGTCGGGGAGGAAAACTAATAGAGCTGCAGTTCACAAATCAAAACAAGAGGGCCGTCAGCAAGGTTTATTGATAGCAGCCTTGGGTATGAAACTGGGCTCTCCAAAGTCGTCTGTGACAATCTGGCAACCTCTGAAACTCTTTGCTTATTCGCAGTTAACATCACTTGTTAGAAGAGCAACTCTGAAAGAAAATGAGCAAATTCCAAAATATGAGAAGGTTCACAATTTCAAGGTAAGAATTATTTGTTTCTAATCTTTTCTTATAAGAAATGCACATGACTTGAAACATATAGTATTAAAGGAATATCTTCTGATGTCTTTTTAAAACTAGGATGACTTGACTAAAATGTTCTTGCTGTTTAAGGAATGATATGTTTTGGGCCTGATTTTATTTTAAGGAATAGCTGACTAAAGTTAATAGAAACCCAACCCCATTTTCTCTAAGGCTGTTTAATCAATGTGCATTCATTAGTAAAATTCTTAGCTGATATTAGAAAGGCCTCATTTAATAATGATTTTGGCATTATTTTTATTTATTTTTTTTATTTTTTTTCCCTTATTTTGGCATTATTTTTATTTGTGATGCAAATATGTCTAAATACATTTGTTAGATATTTCATGAGAAAATTAGATCTTATCTCTCTTCATTTCTGGTAAAAAGCTTTGGATATAAGAGACATGTGCTGTTGCATTGGGATTAAGCAGATGGTCTGCATTTCCCAGAGTTTCTGTCTTTTCTCCTCTGTTAATGAATTGGCCATGATGAAAGGAGGATATCTACCATGGGACTGTTGATGCTGCTGACATTAGCAGCTTCTCTTCACTTTGAGTATTTGCTTTCACTGTGTGTGTGTGTGTGTGTGTGTGTGTGTGTAGCTTTTAATTATTGATTATTGTTTTAATGTGTTTTATCTACCGTACTTGAATCTTTTTTATCAAAATAGTGTGCTGTATGCAGATCTTGCCTGTATTTATAGCATGGCTTCTCTTCACTTTGAGTATTTGCTTTCACTGTGTGTGTGTGTGTGTGTGTGTGTGTGTGTGTGTGTGTGTGTGTGTGTGTAGCTTTTAATTATTGATTATTGTTTTAATGTGTTTTATCTACCGTACTTGAATCTTTTTTTATCAAAATAGTGTGCTGTATGCAGATCTTGCCTGTATTTATAGCATTATATAAGGCCTTGAAGTTCTGTCCTTTGCAACCTAATTCAGAGACTATAGAATATGAGGTT